TTTTATGCAGCTGCAAGAGTATCTATCTAAAACTCTTTATTGGCTCTATTCTGCCCATAGGTATAAACCATAACATGGCCCGTTGCTGTGCCCTTCGTCTCAATGCATTTAGCCGTAATAAGTTGTACTGACTTCTGCAGTCTCACTTTACCAACAGACAGGGGGCTTTTTGAGGAACAGGAGTCATCTCTAACGCTCTGGTGCTGAATTCAGTGCCTGGTGTTTATCAGTTCCTCAGAAACCGTGGAAGTGGGGAAGGAAGAAAATAGATACGACTGCATACCAAAATATTCAGCCTATTAGGATGTATCAAGTAATCTAATTCTGCTGTTGCTTTAATCAAATCAGAGTCCAGAAAATGCTGGAAACACTATGCATATTACTATTTATGAGAATATTTTGAAAGTATGTTTGCTAAATAATGCACTTTTGAACAGAAGAGGCAGACACAGGAATTCTGTAGTCAGCCTCTGTGAGATACTCCTAATTCTGCAATTCTGTCCCAGGATATTACCATAGTTACCAGCTTAGTCCTGTGTTTTTCATTCCTTTATAGGCATGCCCTGAAAAGGGTAGGATTGCTATCCAAAGCTATTTACACTGAAATCCCCTACTTAATTTTGTTTCTGTGACAGACACAGCAGATTGTTTCATGACAATTAAAATAAAATCTTAGGGTTTCACAGATCACGTGATGGGTCCTATTATTATTTTTAAAATGCTGATTTTTAAAGAAATTTCTTTTTTGGCCAGAGAAGCATGTATACTTGTGGCATAAAGGTCTTGTTGGGTATAAATAAGAATGGTTTCTTGTTTAGCTTTATAGATAAAGAGCTTCCTTCAGTCCTTTTGTAAAAATTCAAACTATTTGCCTAATCACATTTACAGTATTTTTCCAGAACATGGAGCTAATCCACTGCAGGGGGCCTGCCCTTTTTAGATAGAGCCAAATTGTGGAACTTGCCTTGGTTTCCCCAGGATGCAGTTGTCAGTTCCCAACTGTGACATTCTGTGCTCTGTAGGCCTATCTCCCAGCCATTTTTCTCATTGCCTGTCTTTTCCATAACCCAAGTAAAATCCACGTAAGATTTCAGCAGCTTAATGCCTTTTTAAAGTCCTGAGGCCTAAGACAATTCCAGATGAATGCTTTTATGTCTCCATTCTTTTTGCACTTACAGAAGTTTAGCCAAAGACAATAAAATACATAGGAAGCGCTAACCTACTCTCAAATCTGGGTCATGGTTATGTTTCATAGTGGCCAACCATTAAAATACAGACACAGGGTATCCGTTAGTGTTTCCCCTTTGGAGCTTGGTGGTAACAGCCAGGAACCAATTTCTCTTCACGGGCTAATTGTGTCTTTATTTTGTGTTGTTTTAACAGGGCTCCTTCTCCCCACTTAAGTTAGTAGATAAAATACTGTTTGAGTTAATGTAAATTATATGTTTTATCCTTGGCTATGATTGATAATTCTTAGAACTAAGAAGTTAGAATGAACTGATTATGATTTTTGAAATTGAATTTATTTAATCTAAACTGACTTTTTTTAAGTTTATTAAGATAAAAAATTCTCATTTCTCTTTGAAGAGACAACCCAAAATGTATTTAGGCTTTTCAGATTTTCTTTATATTCCTGAATTTATAAAGCAAAAATTATTATAGTAAGAAGAAAGCTCTGTATCCTGCCCAAAGTGTTAACTAAGAAGTTAGGTGTTTTGTTTTTTGGTTTTTTGGTTTTTTTGCTTCATCTTTAAAGTTTTCTGTTTAGTTCGGTTGAGGATAAACCATAAAGAAGATGTAACCATATTTTTTGTCATTCACTGGATCTTCCAAAAATCTATTTTTGTTGCAAAGCAAAAATTGGGAAGAAAATGTAAAGGCAGTTTCAATATTTGAGATGCATATATATGTGCATCGTTATATATGTCCTAGCATCCTTCCTGGGTACTAGGACCTGTTGTTATAGTTACTAGTTGGTTTTCTTCAAACACATTCTATTCTACGATTATTCACCGATGGTCATTTTTCCTTTTATTTTAATGTCAAAAGCTAACTGTTTTACTTTTGCCGGTATATGGTTTTTGTGCCTGTGTTTTGGAAAATGACTTTGGATTGGATGGTTTAAATTCAGTAGACATATTACTTCTGAGTACAATCATTTTTTATAAATTTGATCTCTGCCAGTTCTTTTCATGTGGGTAGGGGATTGGTCCTTGTCATGGTAAAGCACCTTCAAGAATGACTGTAAATGTTTATTACCGTGTCTGTGAAATTATATTGTACCAGCATCACAATGAAATGGTATTTTTTAATCCTTAGAGGAAAGTAAATCATAAAAACCAAGATTAAGAAAGTCTAAAAGTGAACGTAACAGAGAAGTTTACATTAAAACCTCTGAACTTGTTTTGTGCCTGTCTTGATATAGAATTATCTGATTTTTTTCAAGAAAATATTATTGAAAATTTAAATGACTATTAACAAACAGCTTTGCTCTCAGAATATTTATTGTGCTTGGGCAATATATAAAATAAAAATTTTAAAGATTTTAAGTTAAATTTTACTAAGTTAAGTGCCTAGGTATTATTTATTCAATGTGTGAAACTGAATTCACATTTATATACCCAGGTATAGGTTGAGCATTCAAATTCCAAAATGCTCCAGAATATGAAACTTTTTAAGCACCAACATGATAACACAAGTGGAAATTCTCTTACTTGACCTCATGTGATGAGTGCACAAAATTCTTTAAAAATATTGTATAAATTTACCTTCAGGTTATATGTATTAGGTGTACATGAAACATAAGTGAATTTTTGTGTTGAGACTTAGATCCCCTCCTCAAGATATCTCATTATGTATATACAAATATTCCACAATTTGAAAAAAATCCAAAAACTTGTGGTCCCAAGCATTTTGGATAAAGGATACTCAACTGGTATATACTTTATCCAGCTAACACTTGAAAAATGCATTGTACACTTTTTATGTGTGATAATATAATTAATTTATAGGTGAATCATATTGTATATGTGAAATATACTTCAAGAATGTGTTAAGTGTCCAGGATAAAAGCAGTCCTTCACTATATTAGTCATTTCTTATGTCTAAGATGTTCTTAACTGGAAAATCAAGGTTCTTGATCAGCTTCCCACTCTACTTGTACCGTGTGCTTAATGTATCATAAACTTTTAATGTCTCCTTCATTCATGGTTCACATTAAGCGCCCTTTGATTTTTAGCACAGATAATATATCAGAGTTTTGCAATTAAGATTTAGCTAATAGAAAGATTTTGTAGATATAGGAGTTTAATAGTGTCCATTTATATACAGATAATGTCTGTTTATCAATCTTTTAACAGCATTTTCTAAATCACTTGATTTTTGAACATTTGCAGTGATCTAATTAGCCTGCTTTGCTGATTTTCTTTTCCATTTAATGAAACAACTCTGCATCATCACTCTCTTTATTGCTTTTTCCTAGGCTCATGATCGTTCAGAAAGTGGAGAACTGGCATTTATTAAACAACTAGTTCGAAAGATTCTAATTGTTATTGCCCGCCCTGCTCGGTTATTAGAGTGCCTGGTAAGTTGCCCCTCGATGTGACTACATTATTTATTGTTAACTGGGAAAGCAGTTACCATCAGAAAGCTCCAGCTTCATTTGGTTTCCAACACCAGAGCTAAATGGAAAAAGTCAAAGGGAATTACAAGTTGTGAATGTTCATGACATCGATATGTGACTTGTCCTTTCTGATTTTAAAGAGACTTCTAGACTTTTGCTCTACTAAGTGATAGTCATACGATATTCTAGGCAAACTTGAAGTAGAATCATAAAATAATGTGCTTGACCTTTTCTCAGCATAATTACTTTATGTCACAGCTAATTTAAAACTCTTGGTGTACCTCACTTTTTTGGAGTTGCCAAGATGCAGAGAAGGAATAGAGATAAATGCAGGGATAAATAGTAACCTGTGATTTATAATTATTCTTTGTTTTAAAATGTGGCAAGTTAGAAAATAAGATGCTAACCATCCCATTTGGGAAAATACAGTAGAGCCTCATGCAGACCTGAAAGAATGAGACTTCTAGGGATGATTAGTTCATTTTAACAATTATATGTTTTTGGCTGGGCGTGGTGGCTCACGCCTGTAATCCCAGCACTTTGGGAGGCTGAGGCAGGCAGATCACCTGAGGTCAGGAGTTCCGGACCAGCCTGGCCAACATGGTGACACTCCGTCTCTACTAAAAATACAAAAATTAGCCAGGTGTGGTGGTGCACGCCTGTAATCCCAGCTACTTGGGAGGCTGAGGCAGGAGAATTACTTGAACCCAGGAGATGGAGGTTGCAGTGAGCTGAGATCACGCCACTGCACTCCAGCATGAGCGACAGAACGAGACTCTGTCTCAAAAAGTAAAAATAAATAAAATTAAAAATAAATACAATTATATATTTTTGGCCAGTGATCATTTTCCTGTTGAGAAGTTTTTGTTTTATGGAATTTTGATTTGAGGTTTCAGTTAAAGCTGTGAACATAAGAATTATTTTAAGGATCTACTAATATAGCATCAAAACTCACTTTTAAATTCCACTGGCTATTAAAGTAATTGTAACACCACATACAATACAGCTTTTCAGAAATACACACATACATACCTACATAATACACATATAGTTTCAGCGCTTTGGTCTTGCCATTATTTTAACTGTCATCCATAATAATTTGTAATAGTGAAATATTCACAGCACCAAAAATATATACTAGTGCCTTGTCAGACACAGAGGGAAAATCTTGAGGAGAAAGGTAGGGAGTTGGGAGGTGTAGGGAAGGGCTTTCTATCAATGGTGAGGACCCTTAGAATCATAGAATCAAACACACCATTTGGCATTGAGTGTCTCTGGAAGGCTAAAAGGAAAAAAACTTGGATACTTCAGGGAGAACTGGGTAACTGGTAAATCCAGGTAGAAGGGTTAGTTAACTTTTTACTGCCTCTCCTGTTGTAGCTTTTGAATTACGGACCACATGTTTGTACTTCCCACAATTGTTTAATTTAGGGGAAAGTTTCATTTAGCGTTAAAACTTGTTTTTCTGGACAACAGATATGCTAAGAGCAGATCTTGCTTTAAAGGAGGAAATCAACTTTTTACAGTAATCACTCATAATCAGAAGAGAAAAAGTATAGCTTCTCAAAGATAGAAACAAGTGAACTTAGAAGTAGCTTGGAAATATTGCTGCTTTCAAAGTACTCTTTAAAGCTTAGATGAAACTGGAGTTTCATAGTATTAGGGGATGCTTCCCCCAAGCTATCATCTTATCCCTATAGTACCCAGGCTTGCTCTGTCAGTCTTTTACATTGTATGTAAAAGACTCTGAGTATTTACATTGGTTGAACTTTACTCCATTTATAGCAAGTTTTTTTTTTTTTTTTTAATGACCTTTAGAAACTCCAGAAAAAATCCAGGAAATATAACTGAAATTAATAACTGGGCTTAGGCAATAAGCATAATTGTTTACAACACATAAATCCATGGCATCCCTTTGGGCACAGAGGAAAAACCAAACTTGGTTTCTCCTGCTGTGCTCTCACAACATGATTCTGACACCAGTTATGTGGGAGCCCCACACAACAAGCAAGCAAGCAGTTCTGCAGCAGACGCCAGCTGGGTGTCCTCCAATTCCATTCCAACACTGTCTACCCAGAGATAGCATCAGATCCCACCGGTTGAGGGGTCAATTCCACAAGAGTGCCCCTACTTCCAATGTCAGTCACGAGCTCCAGATGGTTTGCCTGTGCCTCTCACCGTCTTGCTGTAAACCGAGGTTCCTATGACCCCCTCTCTGAGTTTCATTAGTTTGCTAGAGTGGTTCACAGGACTCAGGGAAACACTGAAGTTGACCAATTTATTATGAAATACATTAAAAACTCTACAGATGATGAGATGCATAGGGTAAAGCATGAGGAAAGGAGTGCAAAGCTCCTTGGCTGCACTGCCTTCCAGGAAACTCCACACATTCAGCTATCCGGAAGCTCCCCAAATGCGGTCCTTTTGGGTTTTTATGGAAGCTTCATTACATAGGCATGTTTGATGACATCATTGGCCATTCATGATCCACTTAACCTTCAGCTCCTCTCTGAAGTGGAAGTGAGGATGGAGCTGCAACTCCCAACCCTCTCATCATATGATAGGCTCCCCTGACAACCAGCCCTCTTCCAGAGGCTGTCCAGAAGTGCCCAACCACCCATCAACTCACTAGAATACAGAAAGCCACTTATTACTTTGGAGATTCCAAGGGTTTCAGGAGTGGTATTTCAGAAAACAGGGATGAAGACGAAACATACATTTGATAGTATCACAGCATCCATCTAGAGTGTGGTGATCCTGAAGATATTTATTACACACTAGAAGCAACAGGCAGCCACATATACACAACAAATTAAATAGATAGGAAAATATATTCTCCAAGTTTTATAAGAGACAGAGGCTTTAATTTCCCATTTTTCTTTCTTGGTCTTTATGTGAATAGTGGTAACTTAATTTTATAGTTAACTAATAAAAAATGGTAACTTTGAAGTTTTTCTTTCTAATGTTTTTGGATACTTCTATATTGAGAGTTTCCTGCAGCATTTTTGAGTAAGTGCATTCTAACATTCCTTTTGTTGCTGGTTGAGTGGAGAGAGAAATTGAATCTCAAATCTTCTGGATAGAAATTCCCAGATTTTACAACTTTGCCAGAAAGGCACAATTAAAAATCAGACCTGTTCATTTCCGATGAGCGAGATCTTAAGTGGAGCGTAGTACCTTCGTATTTACATTACAAGCAAATTGGAAATGATCATTATCTTTGGGTTACCATGTGCATAAATGTGTTGGCTTAGAATATGAATAGGCTTCAAATATGAAGTGAGAATTACATACTTTTAAAATCCATTTGCCTCCTTTCTGCATAAGTAACTTACAGCCATGTATATCCAGCAGTTTTATTGTGAATGGGATTTATGTAATAAAACCTCAGACAATTTTGGCTCAAAGAAGTATCCATCTGTGTTTGTCTTCTGCTAGGAATTTGATCCGGAAGAATTTTACTACCTATTGGAAGCAGCAGAAGGCCATGCCAAAGAAGGACAGGGTATTAAAACTGACATTCCCAGGTACATCATTAGCCAACTGGGACTCAATAAGGATCCCTTGGAAGGTGAGTCCCTGGGTTGTTCCTACCTTTGACTTTGTTTATGCACCGTCGCCTCATAGAGGAAATCTTAAGTGGCAAATCTTTATTTTTTCCTCATGTTTTGGCTCTATCTATTGAAAAGTCCATATCTGGGGACTGGTTGCTATTTGAAGGAAATAGCCATAAATTGGGTCCTGAGATGCGACTGAGCATGACCCATTTTGTGTCTACCTAGAGTGTGGGTCAAAGCCTTGACATCCTTAGAAGCCTGTCAGCCTGAGAATGCCAGAGTGTCCCAGAGGGTTTTGATTTCCGTCTTCACTGAGTAGTTTTTCTCCTGCAGAGCTCAGTTGGGCTCTTTTTGAGAGTACTTCTAATTTTTAAAATGTTGCTAAAGACATTATCATTAATTAAACTGACATTTAAATTTGCTTTGGAAGTAATGCAGTTGACGGTAGATTACTTTAAATTGAGTACAGTATTCATAGGGTATATTCTTGTTTACTTAAAGTATAAAACATAGTAATATACAGGAGAACCAATAAAAAATTTTTTTAAGCTTATAAAAGGATTTATGGGCTGGGCGCAGTGGCTCACGCCTGTAATCCCAGCACTTTGGGAGGCTGAGGTGGGTGGATCACGAGGTCAGGAGTTCCAGACCAGCCTGGCCAATATGGTGAAACCCT